TTCTACAGTCAAATTCTCTCAGTAGAGTAGATCTTCGCATTGTGTATGGATAGTCATACAATTGATATGTATTTCGAAGTGATGTACTTATAATTTTTCCAGTCAATAATTTATTCATAAATAACACGTCGTGTACTATTCTCGAGGACGACAAAGTTGGTATTTGCAAATAGCTAGATATTTCACTGTAGTCATGATTATATCACGGATTAGGTTTTTTTAATTTGAAAGCTACATAAGAGAAGAATAAATGTTGAACTCGTTCTATCTTTTTGCTAAGATATTCAGCATATTCAGCAACCAGACTGAAGAACAATACATCAATTTTGATTTGACAAGGGAATTATAAAGAGTTTTAATCGTTTTCATTGATGTAAATTTACCAGTTTGTCTTTTAATAGATCCAAGTTTTTTCAGTGAAACGTTGACGATGTAATCAATGTGTTTATTAAAAGACATTTTGGTATCCATGATTACTCCCAGATCTTTAATGTGTGGAACAGATTCAATTATTGTATTTTGAAAACTATAATCTACTGTTACTTCAGTATGGCCACGATTACAACAAAGTAGTTTACATTTGTTTATATTTAGTTCAAGTTTGCTTTCGTTACATCATGATATTATTCGATTTAGGTCGTCTTGAAGTAAACTAGCATCATTAACATCAGATATTTTACACCAAATTTTGCAATCATCAGCGAAAAGATTAAATGAAATTTTTATCTCCACTTTATTCTGAAATTTAGTAGCTGGTGCTAGGTCCATCAGAATTGGAACCTAATAACATCTCTGGTTTTTTACAACTTCCCGAAAGTAGTTGTTGTTGATGTTTTGTTTTTTATTTTATTTTATTTATGGTAACATCACAGCCAGCAATGCTCAAAAACTGAATGTCTCAATGTTGACCATTTCCTAACATAGATAAAAATTACAGAAACAAAAATATTACCTCTGAGCATTAAGTTGCTCTGATATGCAAAGTCAGCTAACTCCATATTCTATTAAATCAAATACAAAATTGCCAAGCAACAACTTCAAACATGAATATTTCTGAATTCCATGTCTGTCATGGTTAACATGGTTTAATACATTAACTTTCTTTTTTCCTACCATGACAGTAATAATGCAGGATAATACAATAATTTACTTTTCTCAAAGTTCCTACTTAAGATTTTATAGAGCAATTATACTTACAAGATTATAATACAAAAAATACACTAGGTAATTTTGCTACAGAGTGAGAATAATGAGTTCTGGCCAAAAACAGAGAGTGAGAGAAGTACGAAAACGGTCTAAAAGGTGAGAAAAGAGAGTCGCTGAGAGGCCTGTGATTTATAACACAATTAGCTGTAAACATCTTCAACATTATAACATTCATTCAGAATCCATGGCACAATAAAATTTATAAAAAAAATCTGACATACTTACTGGAATACTTGAGATTTTTGTGATTGGCTCCATTTTTTCAACACATCCAATACTGACTTCTGGTATCCAAAGGGCGCAAGAGACATGTGCCCATTTTTGACCTGAACGAGTGCACTTCATTGCTCCTCCTTTGTTTGGACACAGGACACACTCTGGCCTAAGGCTTAATGCACAGGTGCGACACAGCCAAGATCCAGATGGTATTGTTGTTATACCATAACATGCTTGGTGCACACATATATTACACATATCACAAAAGACCATTTCATTGCCTTCTTCGGAATCAGGCTGAAAAATGCAAAGAAATTGCAACAATTAGAGACCAACTATAAGACTTTTGATACGAACAATTAAATAATATAGTTCTGTCTTAAGTTAAATTACAATTATGAATACAAACACTTCATTAGAGAGGCATAGTTCACTTTCTTAGCTCTCCTTTAATGGCAGGCCATAAAATATGAATTTTTTAATATCATACATTTTTGCAAACTAATATTAAGATATGTTGCATTTTTGAAACTTGAATTCCCTGCATTTTAAACACATGAAACAATGAAACAAGTGCACCCAAAGAGGAATATGGGAGGAGGCTTAGGTGCCATGAGACAGGGCTGACGACAGTTATTACAAGTAGTTTTCACTAACATTTTCTATAGTAACGAAAGTAAATCAATATCTTAACTAGCAAGGTTATAAATAACTATAAATCAACACATGAAAATAAGTTTTCAATTCATAATAATATTTTTAAATAAGAAATTGATAAGTCAGGCTGGATACTACAACTAAAGCCTCCCCCCACCCACCTAACCGTCATTCAAAAATCCTGGTTGCACCACTGAGCATGCATAAATTATACAGAATTTGATGTTAAAGGCTGAAGAATTTATGAAAATGCATCTAAAATGTATTAATGCAGTCAGAGTAACGCCTTAATTGTGATACAACTTTTAACAGTGATCACAATTTCTTGCTTTTGATCAAAATGGAAAATCACAATTATTAATGTTTGCATCTTTATTGAGGTCAAAACTGAAATGGTGTGATTCCCCTTGAGGGATATATAAGCTCTTTCCCAGAAGCAAACCTGGTCTTCATGAGGTGAGCCCTGTTTTAAACCACAGAGATCAGACAACAGAGTCAGAGATCAGCCGAGTCAGAGACACAGAGATCAGCCAACGACATCCTCTAAAGGCAAATGAGTGAATAGAGGTTAAGGGTAGCCTGTTAGAAAAGGGAAATAGCTCCTAAATGTCAATACTGAATGGTCAATGGCCAAGAATGCAGACGGCAACAGAAAACCACTGCATTAAATATCCATATGGCTATCTCCTAAATTGCCAACATGACACAGCTTGTGAAAGAAAAATTTTGAAGTTACCGACTAAGGGATTCGTTCTGTTTACACAACTAACAGTATACCTGAGAAAGAAGGTTGCTCTGTTTCAAACAGATCCTAGTAGTCAGTGGTTTATAAATTAACTTTTAGTCGCATTTCATCACTAGACTTCTATTTGAGACTGTATGTGTGTTTTTGCGAATTGTAACATGACGTAAGTCTCAGTTGCTCTATGTTTGGATGTCACGATGTGACAAGTCATTGATGCCCCGCAGTTGGAGCAGCTAGTCTGGTGAGCCTGCCTAAACGAGCTGGTGAACAAAACTATTTTTTTTATGTTATTTATGAGTTTCAACCTCTCAGATCTTGTGCTAATTTCAGGAGGCTTGAAGAAATAGTATTTTCTTCAGAATTTTCTCGACTTAATTCTCAAGTCCTCTAAAAAACATTCAAACAAAATTCAAAGAGAATCAAATTTCCATTGACTTTTCTAAAAAATATCAACCCTATGAAAGGAGCAAGGGATAGCTTTACAAAGAACCTTGTTTTCACATTTGAAAATTATAAAGAAAAAAACAAAATGATGTTATTCTTATTACATACATTTAAACAACCTACTATTTCACTCAAATCCCTGACTCGTGAAACAAGGAGAATTTTTGAGACTTTCCAAATCACCAGTAGTATCTAATAAGACTATTTCTCGAATGAAGTCCAACAGTGTATCAAATTGTGCCAAATATTGAATATAACTGAAAGCTATATTAAAATCAAAGAGGTTATGTTATGTATGTTATGTTACGTATCCTATTAATTAGACTTGGATATAGCAATCGATGTATACCACCTCCTAAGACAGATGAGGCACAGTTTATGATTGTTTAGTAGTGATAAGCGGTAAGAAAAATTGAATAAGCTATAATTTCTGGGATACACCAATCTGATTGGGGTGATTCTATGTATAAATAAACACTACTGGTTCTAATTTCCCCTTGTGACATTGAGTGCTTTGGCTTTCAGTAGAGTAAGCAATAGACTAATTCGTGTGGCACAGATTTTTTTATAAAACCAGCTTTATGAAGAAGCAAAAAGAGTGTTTTATAAAACGCTTCACAAAACTAGTGAAAATAATGAGAACTAATATTACTGTTTTGGCTTCACGTCTTCTATTAAGACCATAATGTAAAGGATTGTTGAAAGTATCTAGGCGATTAGCGATCAGGTTTACTAAAATTCTAGTACTTTTTTGGTTTTCCACTATCAAGAATATAAATTTTCCAGGTTCTGTTTCCTACTTCACCTTTTTATGTTCTTTGCTTAACCATACTACATTACTCGTGCACTTTTCTATTGCAACAGTAATGGAGTGTAGAATTTTATACAAAAACAAGCTTTAAATGCAATGGGATTTTTCGTTTTCAAGGAAATATGCTACTAATAAATAAAGACCACTAAATACGTTCAAGAAAGTCTTCCTTCCATCTGGAAAGATGATTTCAGGAGTGAAGTCAACGCAGGTTTTAGTTTGTTTGTTTGTTTTTTTGTTTGTTTTTTTTTTAATTTTTTCCCTTGTGTTTTTTTCCAAAAACATCAGCCCTACCATGAACAATATTAGTTTCTTTCACACAAGTGAAAATATAATTTTTCCAAAATTGATCTACTGCTTTCTGCATGAAAAACATTTACTGCATTTGGAGGATAACTACATTTAGTTACTGTGTTTATTTCATTTCCATTTAAAAGAATGGTACAGAATTTATTAAGAACAGTCACTTATTTTTATTAACATAAATCTGAGGTTTGAAGCCTTATTTGGTCACATTATTAAGATTAAAATGATGGAACTGTAAATAAATCATGTTAACATACTAAAGGCAGGAATAATATATCACATTAAAATTTCTTTGTGATATATTATTTATTATTCCTTGCATTTTGTTGCACTGACGAGCAGATTTTAATTCATCACTTCTTTATGTTTCCATACCAATAACTACACAGCCTTCTGCAATTTGGTGACTTCGAGCGGCAGACTTGAGTAGTTTTGTCAATTGTTCCAGGCT